TAACCTGGTTCTCCGCAGCCAAAGCAAATAGGTCGACGGTCGGCCACGCGCCACAAGTCAGTTCGGCGAACTGGTGGTCGTCTCATGGAATCCCGTTGCCACCAAGGTACGGCCGCAGGTCGTGGCTGGAAGGGTGTCGCCACAAATGACGGTGGAGGACGACGGACCACATCAGCGTAGCTCGCTGGATGTGGCTCAGGATTTGGCGCCGGTGGTGTAACGGCTTGCCTCAACTCCTGGCGGACGATTTCGGCAACAGATGTGACGGGCGGTTGGGTAGGAGGGACGCAGAGGGCCCGAAGTTCCTCACGCAGTATTTCCCTAATCATTTGTTGGAGGGGACTTTCACACACGGCAGTGTTCTGAGCTGCAGCACTTACTGCCGTGTGGTTCGGCAGGCGGTCAAAGTGTCGGTATCGTTGTCGCAGTGCGTGCTCGATGACAGTCGCCTCTCTTATGAATTCATCTACCGTTGTAGGTGGATTTCGTACGAGGCCCGCAAACACTGGTTCTTTGACACCCTGCATTAGGTGACGCACCTTCTTCGCCTCGGGCATGTCAGGGTCAGCTCGTCGAAACAGAGGGATTATACCCTCTGCGTACATGGCGGCTGTTTCGTTACGTTTTTGTGCGCGAGCCTCAATGAATTGCTGTGCGCGATCCCGTCGGTCCGTGTTCAAAAATGTGGCGAGGAGCTTTCGACGGAATTCTCCCAAGACTGTAAAGTACCCTCGTGGTTCTCGTACCACGTGCGAGCGCTATCTTCCAGGGTGAAATAAGCCCGGTCAAGTTTGTGCTCTTCGTTCCAGTGGTTAGATACAGCGACCCGTTCGAACTGTTCGAGCCAGTCCTCGACATCCTCGTACTCTTCCCCATGGAAAACTTCAGGAACGCGAGGATGTTCAAGAGTCACCTGCGAGGGAAGAGTGGTCTGCGATGGAATGGTAGCCATGGATGCGGTAGGAGCTGCCATGCTGGTTAGAGGCGGAACATGTGCGGACTCCGGACTTAGGCCTAGTAGGCGCCGACTAAATCGGTGCACCGGAGTCGTGACGAGGGGCTGGGTCTCTGGACTAGGTGAACGGGTCTGAGCAAGACTGTCCTGCATCCGGTTGTAGGCTCCAGCACCTCCACCAGGGTCACGACGTCAAAACAGAGGTCTTGCCGTAGAGATTGAGACACCAGAAGCAGATAGATCTTTTTAATTAGAACGCGCAAGCGAGTTCTTCTTCTTCGTCCATTTCGTAGTCCTTCGTGGCACAAGCACAACTGTCATCGTCTTTCTTGAGCAAGCACGTGACAATATTACAATCACGGAACCAAAATCTTCAGCTTAAATTAGGTGCCAAGAAAAGATCTGGGTGTGATAATATTCCTAACGCATTTCTGAGGAGATGTGGTGAATGGCTAGCGTCATATCTGTCTTTATTCATTATTTATTCGCTATCAATTGGTAGGCTTCAGAAGAATTGAAGACCACGAGTCACACCCGTACACAAATCAGTAAATAGGTATGACATAAGTCATTCCAGGCCTATCTTTATAACATGCGCAGCTTTTAAATTAAAATACTGGAACACATTACTCTCAAACACATAACATCCTTCCAACATGGCTTACGCCGCGGATTATCAGCGGTTACTTAACTTTTGGAACTTGTTGACGACTTTTTCCGAGGCGCTGATTTCAGATAACAAATTGAACCTATACTATCAGATTTCTAAGAGTCTTTGAACTTAGTGACTCATAAGTATCTAATAATAGCTTAAAGTTAATACTAGCTGATTGCGTCATAAATTATGGAGTATCTCATTACTTCAATGGTTGTTTACATTTTCTTGTAAGTGATGGACAGTCGTCTGATAGTGCCGAAGTGGTATTCGCTGTTCCCCAAAGTTGTCTTTTGGCACCAATTCTTTTTTGAATATTTATCAACAACCTACCAGCTCATACAAAGGTTAAAATAAGATTATTCGCATATTACTGCATTATTTATCGCATGATTTACACGCATGACGATCACCTAGCACGTGACTGCACTTTGCAAGCAGTAATAAAATAATGCTCCAACTGGCACATGACAGTATATGTGAAAAAATTCATGCTACTCCTTGTCTCGAGGAAAAAAATAATTGTTATTTCCGTATAAAAGGATTGACACAAAATTAAGTCCCATCCACGAACATAAATACCTGGTGTCAACCATAAGTGAGGACCTTAGATGGATAAGTTACATCAACCACATAACAGCAACCACACTCAAACGAGTCTTTTTCAACCAACGCCACCTTCGATTATCCCCTATAGATACCAAACTGCTGGCTTATAACGGATTTATAAGTGACGTAAAGATGGCCACGTAAACATTAGCCCTACAAAGCTCGAAACACCTAACAAATGCAGGTTTCGTGCAAGTCCAAATGTCTCGATTTTTTTTCATTGCGAAGCATTTCTTTACGAACTGCAGGCCAGCACATGGGCTGTTTATTGTCTGTCTGTCTGTCTGTCTGTCTGTCTGTCTGTCTGTCTGTCTGTCTGTCTGTCTGTCTGTCTGTCTGTCTGTCTGTCTGTCGGTCGGTCGGTCGGTCGGTCGGTCGTTCGGTTGGTCGGTCGGTCGGTCGGTCGGTCCGTCCGTCCGTCCGTCCATCCGTCCGTCCGTCTAGGTCTGAGAGCTATCATGTTCGTCTCTTTTTCGCGACACACACCAAAATTTGCATAGAAGGGCATGTGATGAACACAATGAACCGGTAATTACATGAATAGCGTGAAATACTTCTCGCGTATACGCTATGAAACGCTTCAGTCACGTGTGGCACATACCTTAACACGGCCCACTGAATTCGTGTATATACAATTTGTATCAAATCGGCAACCACGACAACCTACTTTCACAAAGTGTTACACGATCACACTTGTATTACAGATGAGTCACTCGTTGATAGCGTTCGTTGAAGGGGTGAAAATTAGAGGAGCGGATAGGTAGAAATTCAGGGTGCACGGGAGCAAGAATTCAACTCAGGCATTATGCTTGGTAGTCAAGTATTGTACCACAAAGCTGCGCCAGTGCTACATGCTGCTTATGAAAACAACCCGCATAATAGCTTATGCGGTCACGTTAACTGTACTTGAGTGTCCGCTATCGGCTGTTGTAACAAACGTAACCGATGACCGTAAAAACTATCATCATAATAAACGAGTATGTGTCCCGAAAATTGGGCAAATGCCACTTCTCACTGCTGGATCACTGAAAACGAAGAGTGCGATAGTTAGCAAGAAACGGCTGCAGGCGAAACGACGGCATCGAACGAAAGATCCTGATTACGCACAGTGAATAGTGAAGGCAATGGCACGGGCGAAGAGTTCCTGAAGCGATGGAAGCCCTACGCCAACGGTGACGTGCCGGCAGAAATGTGACAAATGAGTTCACTCGGTTTTAGTGCTAGATTTGTAGCGTAGGCTACACGGTCAGAGAGTGAGCACTTTCGCGTGGCTTAAGGCGAGCCGTTCTGCGCAAGCGCGAGGGGCAGTGACGTCACACGTCACACAGCCGGTGAGCCGGATAAGGCCTAGAACCTCCTGGAGTGACGTGTCACTAGTGGGTTGGCGTTTGAGTCGCGTGATATCATTCGCTCGCTAGTCCGTTCGTCCGTCCCTCCATTCGTTCGTCCAGCCACCCACCCATCCATCCATCCATGGTCCTTCCGTCCGTTCATTCATGGTTCATTCATGCATACTTCCGCCAGTCCGTCCGTAGTTCCCGCTACGTATAACGTGGCATAGCCGAGCTAAGCGACTGCTAATTTTTCGTCTTTGGAGTTTGGACATTGGTGTAAGGTCTCTTACTAGTTCTAGTTTAACTTGAAACAACATGACATCACCTAGCTAACCCTAGCAATAACCTAGAAGCCATCATATTAGACTTAAGAATCGCCTACTTTCACTGTTTTCAATCATGCGCGAACTAGCGCCAGCTTCGCCATTTTTAATTCCCAATCATACAATCTCATCGTGTGCAAGTTCCCTTCATTCTCGCCTTTAAGCTAATCAGAGACCAGGGGGAACTAGGGAGCAGGACGATGCGTCCGTTCGTCAGCGCGCGAATTGACCATGAGCATTTTTTTTTGCGCACGCGCCGTGTACTTTCAGCCTGATCCCGAGCGAGAGCCCCGAACCGTCGTGACATCCCGCGGTGGCCATAGTAACTATCAAGCTCACGATGCTCGAATCAGCCAATGGCATTGGACTTCTGTTTTATGGCGTGGTCATTTAGATTTATGACATTGGATTAGACGCCTTTAGATCAGAAGTCAACCGACGCGCATTTGACCAAGCAATGATTTTTTGTGATGGTGTCATCATTTCAAATCACAGTGACCTTTACATGACGTCCTTAGTTAAGGCGTCTTTGACGTCATGATGACGTCAATGCAAGATGATTTTTGTATCAGCCGTATTAAGAGAAGAGCGAGCGATTTCTCACTGACGAAGACGTAATCGTAAATTTATTTTAGGGTACTGCGCCGTAATGTTTGGCTGACGTGTTCTCAGAAGCTTCGACTACCGATCGGGAGCGTTTAATGATCACGCTAAAAAAATCAAAGCCTATTCACGAGGTGAATGACAACGAGTGGGGCGAAGTGGACGGACGGACGCATAGACGAGCAGATGGACGCCCGGGTGCACGGATGGATGGACGTATGCACGAACAGGCGCACAAATAGACGGAGGGATAAATGGATGGACTGACTGACGGCTACTGGCCATATATGGCTGCAAACTAACTGCTACTACAGCGATGACGACACGGGACACACAACCCACGACGTAAGGAGCTTCGCCCCTAAATGTGTTGCAGGGCCTCTTTCAAACAAAAGCAGGTAGTAGCTTTCATGACCCATTTCTTCTACTTTCGGGATTTCTTCTTTAAAGCAAAACGAGGTAGTGCCTTCGAGCCCCATTTTCTTTAATTTTCGAGATGTTGTCTTTGTGTATGCCCACAGAGTTTGTACGCTTCAATGCCTGCGCTCGTCTCGGAGTCACTGCGATGGGCCAGCCTAGTGTCCCTAGGCGTCGGGTGGACCGAGGCCGTGCACCGCCCGTTGCCTGTTTCCTCCAAGGGTCGCAGCATGACGCTCATGGACGGCGTGTTCACGGTGAGACAACTCAGAACAGATGTTTCTTCTCGGACATGCAATCCGACGTTTAGCCGAATTAACACGTGTACTGCATACACGCCAAAAAGTTTAACACCCTCCTGTGTGCAGAAATGGGCTGTTTTGCCGTCTCATTCACATCCAGATTCACGAGTACGGCAAGGTCGGTTAGTTGATATTGCATCATGGTGCCTTGCTTAAGGCTGCTTTCACTGGCTTGTCAAGCCGACATCAGCATTCTCCATCAGAAATAAAGTATCATTTGTAGTTTAGCGTCATGTCATAAGTGTTCTTTCCATGTCCCCGTCTGTGTGCGCTGTAAGCCTCCGTGAAACATCCAGAGGGCTGCACATTCATTGCTACTAGGGAACGAGTTGGCGCGGACGTGCCATTTGCGTGCGTACACTGGCGAATGGGAGCTGGCTACAAACTCAGCAACGTTTTCATAAAGTTCTGGTTGCGAATGTTAGACATTATAATGTACCTAAAGTCAACTGCAACTACTCGTGGACATAGATCACCAAGATCTATCGCTGTGGCTCTTTTTAGTGGGATGTAATAAATCACCTTATCACGGCGAGGAGTCGTGTGGTCGCTCGCGCATTAGCCTAAGACGCCCTGAAAAGAAAAGTCTTATTTTTCCCCGTTCTATTGTATTGAACCCCCTTACCCCAAAATCGAAGCCTTCCTCACCCGATATTGTTTGGAATGTACTCCCGAACCAGATGGATTGGCCCACTTTGGACCATGCAGTGATCTCTTGTGACGCCGTGAGCATATCATGTCGCAGTGATATCTACATGACGCTTATAATTATGGCTTTTGTGGACTCATGATCGCGTCATCGCAAAATATTTTTTAATCACTCGTTTTGACGCTGCTTGCGCCAATGGTAACTTTCCACATTTTATGGGACATTTAAGCCTTTAACATTAACATCGAAATGACTACTGCAGTTGGTTACGAAGCATGTCAGCTGGCATTCGCCACCTGTCTTTATGCTTTTTTGCACTAGGTGTTTTCGTCTAGTCGTGTTGTCATTTGCTTATGGAACCACATTACGTTGCGCACTACTCTAATGACCACTTGGCATGTCTTTTTTCAACTCTCCTCGCTAGCTCTTCAATGTAGGATCATCAGTGACCGCGATCAGACAGGGTGTCTACATGATAAAAGAGAAGCACAAACTTTTCGACATCTGCCCCCGAATCACGAGGACCGCCGCGGCCAGCTTCGCCAGCTCAGCAGTCCTGGTGAGTCTGTATACGTCACCTTCATTGAGGTATATAGAGTCCGGCGGAATCACGCCATTCCTAAGATACGGCCACATCTCTCGGCGGCGGCAACGGCACTCCACCATGATTATGTCGAAAAAATATAATGCCGGAGTTCCACTCAGTGCGAAACCTGTGGAAAAGGCAGAGCTCCATTTCTCCTGTGATTTTCTTGTGATTTATTGTAACCGCTATGCGGTTATCACTTCAACCACTAACAAGGCAGTTGCGCCATCTATGAGTGTATAAGCGAACCATAGCACAAAACAAGTAGATACTCGTCTCCCGACTGGCCCCACAAAAGAACAGCCCGGCTGTTAAAATTATAGGGTATACGAAAAACAATTAGTGATCAAAATCGACTTCCCTTTCCATACAGCCGAGATCCATTGAAATATTCAGGTAAATTTTCAGTATCACATTGTCCGTTGCCATTTTCTAAAAATGCAACACAGCGCAGCTCCCCGTTCCGCAGAAAGCCCACGTGTTCTATATGCATTTTATATGTATCATTCAATAGCGTTCTATATGTGTCACTATTTGACCTATATCACCAGCGTCAGTCATTCATCACCCCGTCTCACTGGGGAGCCAGAAGCATGCGCCCTACCACGGGGTGGTTCTCACAATTCCACCAGCACCAACACAGCCAAAAATAGAGTCTGCGGTGACGCCTTTCTCTACCACTGACGTCACACGTGACGTATCTGCTCACATAGGAGCTTGGCTGCTGCGCAATTTAGAATACGCAAACACACTATCGCTATTCAGAACGCCTGTCTACTCAAGAGATTTTAACACCCCTTAAAAGACCTAAAAGTCAAAACTGCCAAAATAGACAGTCTGCTCAAGTAAAAAAAAAATACAGTGAAAGTAAAGCCAAGACAGTAATGAAGAATCACCGGACAGGACCAGTGCATGTCCTGTCTGAGGAATTCTTCATACCTCGCTATATTTTAGCTCTTTTGCTCCATAGAACATTATAAAATGGCTTGCTCAGCAACCTATGATACTGCGAGTCTAGTTTCAGAAAACTTTCGGGAAATCTTCTTTCTCGGAAATTCTATATTTCGTATTGTATGAAAAGCTAGCAGAGGCGTGCAGCGTACTGACAACCAGGTGTGGGAGACAGGTCGTGAAGAGGCGTCAAAGAGGGAAGTTGATGTAACTGGACTGTCGTATGATCGGTATAAGCGTTGGCTGGAGCGGACAATCACACGGCAAAATGATACGCATACCCCAGCATGCAATATGTGGTTCATTACTGTAATGGAACTATCGATCATTCTGCGCATGCGTCAGTGCACTTCTGCGTCAGTCAACCGGACACCCGCCTCTTCACGGGACAAGCCGCACTTGTGACGTGTGCCGCCTGACGCCCTGAAATCGTTTACCGCATTAGTTTAACCGGAAGCGTCCTTCATGAGCTCTCCTTGCTCGTCTAGACTGCCTTAATTAATATTGTGAAACCTTACTGCAATTCACTTACGCTAAAATGTTATAAATTTGTTTTTTTTTCAGAGGTGAAAAAAGTGCATCTTGTGTCGTAACTTGTATTGCCAGAAATTAAATTCTGAACCTCCTCCGACAAGAGGAGGAAGTGGTCAGTCTACACTTCAACCATGCATGACTTACGTAAGAATGGTTTGTTAGTTGGATTTAGTTTATCATTTTTAACGTTCCAAAGTGGCTCAGACAATGAGAGACGCCCTAGGGAAGGGCTCCAGATAACATTTCCAAGTGCTCAAGCTGTTGGTGATTCAGGGAATTATCACGATCACACAAAGTACACTTTGTGCTTGGTAAATCAAACCATCTTCATACTTCAGTAGCTATAAGTAAATATTCAAGAAGTCGCTAGGTGATTCCATACATGCCAACCCTTCATAAATAGATACCATCAATGTCTTTCGAATATATACCCACTAGGAGGTGCCACAACACTTCCGTGGCGAAACTACGCATGTGAGACGCTCATCACACACAAAAAAGAAATCACCGCATCCACAAAGTGATTGATGTAGAGGAACTTGCTCGGAGGTGCACGAAGCGTTTCACGGCGAGACCATTTCTGCAGGAAGGCTTGTTACCGAGCCTACGCATAATGTGTAAGTCGAAGGCAGCGTTGTCGGGCACGTCTTACGGTCGCCACTGCACAGAGTTGGCCACGTCGCTCGGCATGCTAACCACCTGCCCCTTTATGCCACAACGACCGCTGCCATGAGTCAAATGCCTAACGCTCATAAATGGCAGATGTGAAGCTATCAAGCATCCTTCAACGGGTTTGAGAACATGCTCGTGAGAAGGCTTGGGAGGATATCGCTACTCGTGCGTGACACCCATTGTAGAAACTTGTCACGTGATACCGTGTCTAGGGAGCGACGAGAACGAAGTAGACAAAGTCGCGAGGAGAAGAGTGTGCATGGATGGATGGATGGATGGATGGATGGATGGATGGATGGATGGATGGATGGATGGATGGATGGATGGATGGATGGATGGATGGATGGATGGATGAATGGATGGATGGATGGATGGATGGATGGATGGATGGATGGATGGACGGACGGATGGATGGATGGATGGATGGATGGATGGATGGATGGATGGATGGATGGATGGATGGATGGATGGATATGGCTGTGCCCTTTAGATCAGGCGGTGGCTAGCGCCACCAAGTCGTAATACCTAATGAACAAAAACTACATTTATATATTGTCATGACCAAGAAAGACACTGGGGCTCCGGCGCGCGGATAGCTAGAGCAAGGAGGAGGAAGACGAAGTACAGATTGAGAACAGCTGGTGCAAAATATCAACATTACATAAAAGCTACTTTAGACGCTCCTTCTCAAGATGGAGATGACACTAAAGCTATGAAAATAAGCGCAGTAATTAAAAGGGCATACAAAAACGCTGAATTTACTGTTAAATCGGCGAAGAGAATACACTATAGCCCCTGGTGGAATTCCAACTGTTCACGAGATCACAGACGAAGAGAGGCAGCTTGGAAGCTAATACATACTCAGTTCCCTAAGAACTGGTCAGATTATAAATTTCTTTCCGCTGTATCTAAACACACGGTGCCCCAAGCTAAAGAAAATTATGAGAAAAAAACATTTCGATTTTCTCTCGAAATCTATAAATAAGGAAGCTTTATTTTAATATATGCGATCTCGCAAAATCCTGCCGTCTACATTAAATGCTGATTATGAAAAACTATCATTGAAAGAAACGAAGAACTCTTAAGAGTCAATTGGCAGAGGCCTAGAAATTAGATTTTCTTCGATTATGGCTTTCAACTGGCAAAAGTCTAGCATAAGTACTGACTTCGAAAACGTAACGCTGTCTGAAGCATCAAAAGTCATTCGACATCTACCATCGTCAGCTCCTGGTCCAGATGGAATCACAGTTCCTATGATTAAAATTTTATTCAAGCTATCCCCCTGCGACGTCCTCAATCTTATAAACTAGTATTTAAAGAATGCCTGGATACCGTATGACTGGAAAATATCTAAGGTAATCCCATTAATAAAAAAGCAAGGATTAGGTTTTACCATGGAAAATATCAGACCCATGTCGCTAACTTCAAACATGGTGAAACTCATAGAGAGGGTTCTAAAGGGCCGAATAAACTCCTGGATGACAATTAAGGTCATATTAAAGACAAATAAAATTGGTTTTCGTTGTGAATGCTCAATTTGGTGCGCCCATGTGGATTTAGAGAGTCGAATACAGCTTGCTCGTAAAAGGAAACAGTACGCCGCATTAGTAACTCTCGACATAGCTAAAGCGTACGACAGTGTCGAGCACTCTATTCTACTGACCACCTTGCAGAGTTTCCTCAGTATATTACTGAGTGGATAGCAGGACTCCTAAAATCAAGGGAATTGTATTGCGTGAAGGATGGCTGTTCGCATAATTTCAAACAGAAACGTGGTGTTCCCCAAGGGTCCGTCCTATCTCCAGCATTATTCAATATACTGATGAGCTCTATTCCAATTGTTCAGGATGTCAGTGTCTACATTTATGCAGATGATATCGCGTTATTCGCTGCAGAGAGCGACATTTACTCACTACATCAAAAACTGCAAAGATATATTAATACACTAGAAATTTGGTTGCAATCCATTTCATTGTCATTGAACATCAGTTAAAGTGCGCTCTTGGTGTTTCCTATAGCAGATACAGTTTCAATTTCTGTATTGTATAATCGGGAACCTATTCCACAAGTAGATTCAGTCAAGTACTTAGGAATGATTTTAATGAAAAGCTAAATTGGAGCCCCCACATTGAATATATAACAGCAAAGGCACAACGGGCGTTAGGTTTATTACGCAGGTTAAGCAACAGAAAATACGGGCTGCGCAGACACACGATGTTAATGATATATAAAATGTATGTGTGACCAATATTGGAATTTGGGTGTGTATTATTCTCGGGGGCCGCTGGTTATAAAATGAAACCGCTAGTAATGTTAGCGCGAGAAGCCCTGCGAATATGCCTGGGACTTCCCAGGTTCGTGGCGAATAATGTATTGTATCAAGATGCACGATTGCCAACACTCCTAGTCGATTCCGCATTCTAACGGTTCAAACCTTCTTAAAGCACTACAGTTTACCGGCGCGAAGATCAGAGTACGCATTTATCAGCAACCCTGACTCTTTCTTTCTTGCACATTGGCCTCGATTTCATACCCCTCAGATAACTTTCGTTAAAAAGAAACTGGATTGCATAAATGTAAACATTAGCACAGTAATTGAAACTAATTCCTCAACCATCAACATTAGAATAGAGTACGATGAAATCTTCCCCCCACAAGCCAAGTTGCAATCTCTTAGATTTTTGACCACTACATTAAACGATTACTTGGTACATGCAGAAACAAAAAATGTAATAGCTACGGATGCTTCTGTCAACAATGAAAAGGCAGGCGTAGGAATTGCGTCTGATTTCCTCGGCTGGTCTTTTTCAGTAAGG